TAAATTATATAATTTAAAAATAATCTCAAATAATATTTTGATAATATTAGATATTATAATTATTATATATATCAATATAAAGTATATACTCTTAAATAACTTATTTATAAATATAATTATTATATTATATTTAGATTTGATAATTAAAAATTAAGTTATAAAGTTTATACTAATATATTTTTATTTTATTTTAAAATAATAAAAAATTAAATAATTCAGAAAGTTATTAATTATTGTTTTTATTATATTTAAATTTGATAATTAAAAGTTAAATTATAAAGTTTATATTAATATATTTTTAATTTATTTTAAAATAATGAAAGATTAAAATAATTTAGAAAGTTATTAATTATTATTTTATTATATTAACAAGATTATAATTAATAATATATTTATAAATATTTTTATTTATTTTTTTTTAAGTTCTTATTATTTGATATAACTAAAAATAATATTTTTAATAAAATAATAAATAAGTATTATATATTTGCAATTAGTAAATTTTAAATTATAACTAGTAATAAATAGATAATATTTAATTGTGATAGTTAATTATTTTTTAGATATAATAAATTTTTTTAACTTAAAATAATAAATTTTAGCTTATTATTTTAGTATTACATTACTGAAATTCTATAAAAACTTTAAGATATCTTTAAAATAATTATTTTCTTATATATTCTAATCAACTTCTCTTTATTAATAAAATTAATAATGATAATAATAATATTTACTAAATATAATTGACAAAAAAGTATATTTATAATAATATTATCTTTATTAAATTTATATTTAATATTAAAATTAATTGCTTATAATATTTTTAATTATTTAAATTATCTTTTAGAAAAATTATATTATATTTCAATATATACTAAGAATATATAATTAATAATAATTATAAAATTTTATTCTTTTAGATAAGATTTCTAAAGTTTAATAATATATAATTACTAATAATTCTTTTTCATATATAAAATAATTTTAATTAACTAATAATAATTTTCTTGATTTAAAAGTTATAAATTATTATTTTTATTTTGATTTTAGCTTAGTATAATTTTAAGAATAAAATCAAATTAAATTAGTAATAATAATTTAGAATCAAATAGATATTAAGATGAGATATAATTTTAGATTGTTAAATACTTATTATATTTGTTCAGATTATTTAAATTTTTTATATTTATATAATAAAGCTATAAGAAATAGAATTATAATTAAGAATTCTTTGATAAACTTTTTGTAATAGCTAACTAATTCTAGAAATAAGTTTAATTTTAATATATTTATTAATATTGATCAATTTTTATTTAAAAAAAATAAAAAATCCATGAAAATAAAATTACACAATATGATAATATATAACTTTAATATATTTATTAATATAGATCAATTTTTATTTAAAAAAAATAAAAAATCCATGAAAATAAAATTACACAATATGATAATATATAACTTTAATATATTTATTAATATAGATCAATTTTTATTTAAAAAAAATAAAAAATCCATGAAAATAAAATTACACAATATGATAATATATAGAGCTTTTATTTGAATATTTGTTTCTATTCACCTGGTAAGTTCTTGCTGAAATTCTATCACATCAGCGAGCTTTCCTGCATTTCGTCTATCTTTGCAAATTCATGTCGCAACTTATTAATAATTTCTTGCCGCACCGAGTTTATGATATTTTTTAAGATCCCTTCATTCGGGCGCTCAATTCTTGAGGAAACATTTAAAGCTCTTGACGTAAGTTATTGAAGTCAGTCAAACTAACATAAATGGTTAAGTGTTAGCACTCATTGTGGCGTATCTAGAGTACCCATATCCATTGTTAACAGAAATCACAAATAATCCAATTGTGTAGTCCTTTGATATCTAATAAATTATCAATTAAATAATTCAGAATTAATATATACATACATATATATTAAATAAATACACTACCGTGAAATAACTGATTCGAACTTAATTGTAATGTCAAATTTTACTGTAGAGTAATTTACGTATATATTGTATGATAAAGTACTCTTTCTTCATAGATCCCGAAGATATCGATACCATTATCTCCTACAGAAATCCTAAAATAAGTGAACAAATGTTTTTTTGATTGTCAAGGTAAATGTCACCCGTAATCGAGAAACGGGGCATTTATCATGTATCCTATTCACCACAACCTCGGCGCAAAGCTTTCGGTTAGCATGGCTAAGCAGAGAAGGACGTTCACTGCTCAGTTACCCGATCAAATCACCCCGACAGGGCCACGACACGCTTCCAGTTCTCCGTAGCCATACCAACCTAGTGGCAGCGTAATTTCGGATACATAACAAAAAAAATACAAATCTCACCTAGCACGCACTACTGATAGATTCATAGAAACCAAAACGTCATAAACTTGGTTTTCAAATATTTCGCTTTTTTCAACAGAAGATAGTGTCATATTATTAAACATATTAATATTATTGTTAATATGACATAAAATACAAACCAGAATTGAGCTTAAGTATTTGGTTCTAAGGAAATGACGCGAAAAACAAAAGCGAGATAGATTAAAAATGCGCATGACTTCATATGGGTTTTTACCCACATATTGATATATTAATTCCTAATTTGGAGGATCTGGTCATCTCGTTTGTGCACCAGAAAATCTTAGTACTCATGCCATGGCGAAAATAAAGTTTCGGATCATGTGATTTTTAGGGGTGAACCAATGAAAACGCTATTATCATTTCATCTATCTCATATCTTGCTATTGATTGGTTTTCTCCTAAAATCACATGACCCCATCACTATTTTTCGCGTGTACTAAGAATGCAAAAGTATTCACCTGGTAATTCTGATAGATCTGACAAAGTCAACAAGTTCCTAAGCAATTGGTCTGTTTTCTGGTATCAATGTCGTATATCATGACACAAAATGGTTGTTTACCAATCTGCTTTCATTCAATAGTGTAAGTAAAAATCTTTTTCTTCTTCGGTAAGCAATATTTCCTGTTTCCTGGCGTACCAAAACATTATTGTTATATTGATATAACGTGATTAATATCACATAATTACGTAGTTCTTTAATTTATTTTTTTAACATTTAATACATGTAGAAAAAAATATGTGTTTACATGTACGTAAATTTCTTTTCATGTACGTATTAACAAGTGACCGAACACAAAAACGCATGACAAAGCTACTGCTATCAACAAGTAGAAACATTAGCTAAAAATTAATTTACCTAATCAAAATTAACTTGGCGCTGGCAACAACAACTGTGGAAAACAAAGAGCTATGTACCGATACAAAAAGTTGTTGTTCTGCAGAAAAAAGAGCCTGGAGTTACTGCTACATTTTGTATTTGGTGCTCTAATCTTTCAGGTATAGTGCGAACAGATTTTCCGATCCTGTGACGATTTATCTATAGATTAAGACTACATTTTTTAGTGACAGTAACTTTTTTACGCCGCACTAAACACACCACCCGAGTCTCCTTCGATTATTCTGGATAGTAGTTTTCATAAAAGTTACCACAAGAACCTCTTCGAATGCTTAGAGCCTATTTTCGTAAACTATTCTCTTTCACTGTTGTGTTGCGCTTTATTTTCTTTAAATCCAACATCTTTAGAAGATAACGCAACAATACTATTCGAAATTTACAGGTATTCAAGGGATAACTTTATCATAGGAATACAAGTTATAAGTCGCAACGCCACCAGGTCGATTCCAAATAACAGTAACCTTTCCCTTACGAATAGATGATGCGTATGTAGATGTCATTTAGGGTCTCCATACGTCATGGTTTTATGATGTCCGTTTTTGTGGAAAGCCGAAAATGGTAAAAACGATGATATTTGATGAAACGCCAAAATATACAAAGTCACAAAAGGTAATGTATGAATAAGCAATGTCCACCTTTAGGTTTAATGTTATGTTCCATATTAATAAATTCCAATTGTTGGCAAAAAAGTGTTACTCTTTGGATTCTTTAGAATTTGATACGCTTTTATACATTTGTTAATTCTTAAATGAAATACGCCACTCGCCTGAATGCATGCTGGATATCGAGTGACATTACGTATGGAGACATTTACCCCCTAGATATTTGCATCTTCACTTATGTAAAACATTCCCAATATCAACATTAACGGGGCGACATGTACTGTAAAAGCACAGATTCTAGTTTAAGTAATTTTTGAATGTGCTGCTAAAAAACGAATTTGTCGATTATTTTTGCAACCCAAAAATCTTTGCATTGTATGAGAATTTCTTTAACGAAGATCAACAATTATTTTATTGATTTCCAAACCTATGGCTTTCAAAAGTTTAAAATTATGTCAAAGACTAAATATATAAGGGACATAATACGAATGCTTCAAAGTTTGAGTTAAATTAGACTTTGTAATAAGCACATAAATGCTAAATTAAATTTATATCCCGACAATTATGAATCAAAATTCGGAGTTGTAAATAGACTTAAAACCTAAACATTTTTACTCATTTTTGGCCAATAAAAATGTTGTGAAATAAAATAAACTTTTTAATTTTTCATCTTTATTTACTTTCTATTTTACCATATAAAATTTCGCAGATTAAATGAAATTTTTGGCTAAAATTATCATAATTTCTTCTTTTTTTTAAAAAAAAACAAACTAGATAAAAAATAGACACGAAGACGGCAAAACGATAAGAACAGGTAGAATAAATTATTAAATTAAAATGAAGGGCAAAACGAACAGGCGAATAACGAATTAAATAACTAATTTAAAATTGTCGAGGGAGATCTATATTAGTTTGCTTATGCTTAGTACATGAAGTGGGGATCGAGACATTATTATGATCACTCGTAAAAAGATTCATTGAAAAGAGTTTCATAAATATTCACAGTGAGATTAATATCCTTTTATCCAAATAAAAAAAAGGCTGATCCAATGAAAGTTCATTAAACGCGTCGTCAATCGAATTTCCGCTTCATTATTAGCATTTATCATGGAAGGATAAGTATCAGCAATGGTTGTTGAAGTGGAGATGACAGTATTGTGCCAGTTATTAAATGTTGTATCATTTAAAGAGGACGGCCGAAGATTTGTGCTACATCTTGAGGTGAACGATTACTCGCTGAGCTAGATTCATAAATATCCGTATCGAGATTTATAATAATATAATAATTATCATCATCATCATCATCATCATCATCATCATCATCAACGTTTCAAATAAAAAAGGAAGCTGATCCTAAAAGTTCATTAAACGCGCCGTTAATCGAATTTCCGGCACGGAAGGATGAGTATCAACAACGGTTGTTGAAGTTGCATACTTCTGAATATAAATAATATTTCGAAAAAAAATAGACGACTTCTCGCAAATTGTTGACCCTTCTACGATTACGAAATTAAAATTTAGCTTAGTTTGAAAATGTACAGTATAAGAAACATTTCATAAAGCTTAGGTTATATATTCTCTTCACTTGTTTTTAACTATTGCAGAAATTCGAATTAACATATAGTCTTGATTTAAAAAATGGTTAAGGAATTTATAATCTAAAGTGCTTATTTATAGATGGTGGTTGGTTAGATACGAACTTAATTTTAAATTTACTTAAAAGAGTGTTTAAATTATGGAATTATTCAGGATAACTTAAAAATATTTGGTTTGCTTCAAAATTTTCTTCAGTTAAGCCAAAATCAAAATTTATGCTGGAGTTTTGAAAATTAACTTCAGTTTCGCAACTTTCCTCGGTTGTTTCTGGGGATATAGGCGAGCTTTGAAAAGTTGCGGCTTGTTCATAATTTTCTCCAGGCACACTTACTATATGATGTTGAGATTTTTGTTTACTGCCTCCTTTTGGCTTGCTAATACTAGCTCTCTTATCTGGTTCACATTTGTGGGTGCGTTGCTTTTTAATTCCGGTACAGTTGTTCAATGGAAGGAATGTAGTAATATAGTATATCGCTATTTTTTCATAACTATCCCTTTTATATTTCGGCAAATTTTTCCACGCTTTAGAGGCCATTTTGCTTACGATTTTCATCGGACGCTTAATCTCAAGCTGCTTAAGCCTTTCCAAATATTTGTTACGAAAAAACAGGAAACCGTTAGGGGGTTTTTTTTTAAATTTATTATTTTTGTAGATCGTTTCAAAATCAAATTCTGGCGGCCATTCAACTTCAAAATTCTCAGGCTCTTCTGTTGATAGGTCAGGCGCAGCAGGAAGGCCTGGATAAAATTCTTGAGCATCCAAATTTATTATAGAACATACGATTGCTAACCAAGCACGTAGAAAAGGATAAATGAAACTTTTGATTAAAATCATGGTCATAAAAGTGATGAAACTTCGAAAGTTAAAGTCTTGGTTTTATATTTGAATGGAATGGTATCTCCGTACATTTTAGTTGTTGCTTGATTTTACTCTTTGTAAAAACGAAATTTTTTGTAGAACAAATTGATTAAAAATAAATCTTTTAAAAAATATTTATTAACTAAATAAGTATATTTTGTAATTATTTCTAAATATGATTTTTCATAGAACAAACTAATTAATATATCTTAAAAATTGTTTATTGACTAAATAGTGTAAAGAAACTTTTATCATTTATTTTATTATCGAAAGATTAAACTTATGGAATATATCGATTATTTGTTGGCTTTTTTAGTAAATAATTATTGCATAGAAAAATATTATATTTGATTTTATCTTAAAGCATACTCAATCAAATCATTTTAAGTATAAAATTCTGCGTCATAAAATGGATGTGACGAAGAATAAACTCCGGACTCGAACAATCTTTTAAATTTTTTAAAGAAATCAAGTAGTGGCGCCTTACCGTTACATGATATATATATATATGATCAGCATTTATAAAACCAATTTATTTTTAGTCACACTTGGAATATATTTTTGCACAATTTTCATTTAATTTAAATGTAGTTTCGATGTAGATTTCGTGGGTGACTTCATGAACACTGGCAAAGTGCATGTATTATTACAAAAAATAGAAATTTCTGAATGACATATACATGTACGTTCTTAAAGATCACCAGGCTTTTCTATTATTTTAGGGTTGTGACGTATGATGATTTTTTAACAATGCATCAGATAATTTTATCTTTATCGGACTTTATCTGCGAAAATAAAATTTTTGTGAAAATTATATTTTATCATTAATATCCGCTTGCCGCTTGTTATCTATAAAAATAAACAACTTAATTAATGTCTAATGGTCAAAATTTGCTAAATTTGAATAACTGAAAAAAGAATTCGAATATTCTCAAGAATGGAAACAAGATAATTTAGTTATATTGTAAATGACCTTTTGAATCCTACAAATAAAACGGCCGAACTTTTCTTTTAAAAATGACAAAGAAGAATGATGTATACTGCGTGAATTTATTATGTGCAAAAGACAAACTGTCTCATTATTAATAGATAGAAAAAGAAAATTAAGAGCTTTTTCTTAAAATCTTGATAAGATTATCTTTTAAGTTTACTATTCCGTGAATTCTTAACGGCTGGACATTTAAACAATCAAATTAGTTTTCAATGACGTATAGCACCCAAAATATACATATATTTACCCTTTTATGCAAAATATTATGTCATCTTTTTTGTTGTATATACTTGGAAAAAGACAGATCCTGTCGAAAGTCGAGATATTAGGATCAACAAAAATCCTCCCGTTTTGTTTTTATGGAAGAACTAATTTTGTCTGATGTCATGCGTGATATGATCATAAGTCAAGTGATCCTGTGAAATTACACATCATTTTTGCATATTTTTTATTGAGATATACTGTATACATACTAATACATGAATTTATGATTTACAAGTGTTTTATTTAATCTAAAAAATTTTGACGTAAATTTGTATTATATAGAATTAAAATCGCCTTATAATATATAGCATATTAATTTAGGGGGTGCTTTTAAATTTTTATTTTTATATTTCTAGGGGAGCTTTTGCAACAATTTTTTACAATTATTATAAAAGAATATTTGGAAATAAATTTGTATCCTCATCTTTCCAAATATCTTTCGAATATAGAAAATATTCTGAATCAGTTTTAGATTCAGGTTTAAGTTCAGGCTCAAACTCGGGCTCGGGTTCAGTCATTGCATGATATGATATTTGTTCCGAAAAGGTATTTGACCAACTGACGTGTTGTTGTGTCAATCTAGCTGAAATTTGATTATATTTCTTTTTTTCAGCAGGACGTGTATTTTTCCATAATTCGGAAGCGAGTTTAGAAATCTGAGCGGCTGTTCTTACCCTTCCGCTTTTTCTTAGAGCCTCATTAATTTTCTTACGGAAAAGAATAAAGGTGGCGCATTTCTTTTTTAGTTCCTTGAAATCATTTATTGACGGAATTTTATAGTATTCTGCGACTACCGTTTGATCAGTGCGATTATCACATAAACTTTGAGGTGGAACAAAATGATAGTTTTGTTTGGTACGATTATCAATTGAACTTTGCTTCGGAGCGTTTTGATAAATATTCGGTTGCGAAACGAAATGATAAGTGCGATTATCAACGTAATTGTAATTCATGATGACATATCGAATTTGTGGAAAAAATATCGACGATGAATACCATGAACTTCTTGAAACAGAAAACTGGTCCTTTTATTACAATTTTTTCTCAGAAGAACCTATTCGCAAAGCGAATATAACATAATATCTGATGTATTTGATTGCGTGCATTTTCAATAATAAAGCGAATGAAATCGTATTTTTTCAATATGATAATGAAAAAATGTCGATAAAATGTCGATAAATATCACTGTAGTTCCATTTTTTATTTGTGTCATTCCTCTTACACCTACACCAATAAGATGATAACTTCGGGCAATATCATGATTCGTTTGTTTTAGAACTGCGTCAGAATCGCGAATATTGTCGCAACTTGAGCAATCTTAATCTTCAATACACGATGATGTGAATCGTTGTGATGTCTGTCATACAGACATTTTGATCCTAAATATCCCAAATGCTATTGCAAATGTAAATGTCCCCAATAAACTAACGCTAATAAGCACTTTATCATTAGAAAATGTATAGCACACCAAAGCACCAATAAAATTAAAATCAATATATAATCATTATTTTAATATATTTTCGATGTTATACCATATTAATCTACTAAAATGGTTTTTGCTTTAACATTTTGTATGCGTTTTCATGTAAAATCAATACTTCGTTTTGATAATTGTAGTATATGCTATAATACTAAATAAAAGAAAAACTTCACCAATCCACTTTAAAAAAAAAGGCAAGTAAGTAACCTCCACGGAAATCGCAAGAAATGACACGGAATAATACGAAATAGTACGAAATAGTACGAAAAAGTTACGAAAAAGCACGAGAAATGTGAAAAATTTTGTATAACACAGTTCTCATCATGGAATTTGACATTCCCTAAATTTCTACCAAATACATGTATGTGATTATATACATGAATACGGAATTTTTGTCACGCTTGTTCGTACCATGTCGGAAATTTCTTGCAAATTTTGTAGATTATTTCTTTTAAAGCGATGCTTAATTTGATTTTTTCTAGTTCCAAAAATTCGAGATTGATGTTAGAAAAAAAAAGTCAATTCAAAGTTTAATCATATCTCCATATCTCAATTTGTTTTAACTCGATATTCAATACTTGAATGCTGAGATTAATTATGATGGTCAATGATAAGATACATATATGCATTAAATACAACGTATGTTTATGAATTTAGGAATTATAATCAAAATTAATTATAATATTTTATTATACTATAGTTTATTTACTTGCATTCCTATTAATAAGTTTATTTTATTTTTCATGATGAGTAGTCTCAGAATAATTTCGCTATTTTGAAATGTTGCTTTTTACAATTACATGTACCAATAAAAAAACAAGTATGCTTCAACCAATTGTGTGTATCTACTAAAGCATGATTGAAATGTACGTATTCATATTAGCGCATTTTCATGTGCTGCACGTACATACGTATTAAATGCAAATGAACGAATTGCGTTTATTATCGTTATAATTGCATTTATTATCGTTATAATTGCATCTATTATCATTATAATTACATCGTATTGAAATTTTTCGTCTGTTAATAATGACATTGATATATCACTCTTTATTTTAATGAATATAGTTATGGAAATGAACTAACAAAAGACTATTCATAAATCTACCAAGCAAAAAAATCGAATTTAGCTCTTTTATTTCATAGAGATAGCCGATACATACTAAAAAGAAAAGAATGGATTCATTAACTTCTGTTATTACTTCTATTAAAAAGGGTCGAACTATTTTTGGTTTTCGCGTAATACTATCATTACCGATGATTCATTGACATAATAAAAATGATAGCAATCACGTGCACTTGACAAACACATTATTTGCACGCACATAAATACACAAATAGCATACACTGTTGAATTTATATCAATGTAAAAGCTTAAGTTTTTATTCATTCAAACATTATATTAATATAGTTGCATGTAGTCTGCTAAGATGATAAACATTCCATTACTATTTACATGTATCGAGTATTAATTGTCACCATTCGTGGTTTTTGAAGGAGTGAAATTTGATGTGATCTTTCTTTTGTCACCACACAAAAAAAGGGTTGGATTAAAGAATCAGATGGGAAAATAAAAAAGGGAAAATAAAAAAAAGGGAGAATAAAAAAAGGGAAATAAAAGAAAGAGAAGGAATTACCGCCACACAAAGAAAGAAAAAGGAAGAAACGGAAAAAGTTAATAAAGGAATAAAAAGAAATAGCAATTTTTCTTTCCTTTAAATCTGTTACAAATCCACTATTATAACTTTACTACAGAACATCACAACTTCGATGCTAAGGTCTCTCTGCACTTCTAATTCGAGTCAATTAAGTTTTATATATGTTTTTAACCTATTGTTTCTGAAAAGAAAGAATAAAACTATAGATACATTTTTATAAGTAAATTTAGAAATGTATTGAAAGTTTAGCATACAAAAAATGAAATATCGTTGATGAAAATAAAAATAATTATGAAACCATTTGTATTTATAAAAAAATAAAAATTAATATGCTTATGAACTATAAAAAAATAAACAAAAATAAAATAAAAAATAAAATAAAAAACAAACTGCTTTTCTTTATGAACCAAAACAAATTCAACCATAAAAAAAATAATAAATCTACCTAATACTTACCACATGAAATAATGATAATTTTTTATAATTATTGAAATTCTTCATTATAATATTTCATTTTAAGTTGTTAAAAAGTTAATACAAAGCTTACCTCACTAATAAACAATGTGTCAACAATTTTATCTCTTGTTTTTCAGAGAAATGTGTTAAAAGTCAACTATTACTTAATAAAAAAAGTTCAGTTGAATTTCAACATAACTCACACAATAAGTTAATAACCAAAAAAGACAAGAACTAAAAGCTTCAAAGATTTCAAAGCACCAAAGTGCTTGCAAGTATAATAAATATCTTTGAATATAATTCAAAGAAAATTACTTGTTCAAATTATTTTCTTTATTAAACAGAAAAGTAATAATAGAAAGAATGAAAAGAAGGAAGAAAGAAAAGGGAATAGTGAGTGATGGTAACAATAGTAATGGTGATGATAGTGATAATGATGATAGTAAAATGGTGATGATGAGATGAAGATAAAAATAATGGTGATGGTAACAATAGTGATGATGATGATAATGACAATGATGAATTATATTCATCACTAATTGCTATTATGAAAGTTGAATTCATGATAATGATAAAATTTTTTTCAATTTCTGATAATAAAATGATGATAATGATACTATTATTGCTTTTTCTTTTTTATATAATGAAGAGAAAAATACTGATAATAATATAATATTAGTTTTATTTTGTAATAGTGATGCTAATGTTTGTGTTGTTAATGATTATGATGATGATGATGATGATGATGATAATGATACTGATATACTTTTATTACTATCATAAACATTAGGTTCATGATAATAATAGAATTTTCTTTTTTTATGTGATAATAACTATGTTACTGTTGATAATACAGTGACCTCCCAGAATATTGTGGACACTTTTTAAAATATAATAACATAAAAATCAATAAAAAAATATGCTTTATTATTATAAACTAATAGATTTACTAAATCATAATGTACATTATCTTAAAATTTCAAGTGATTTAAATCACTGATTAAAAAAATATATAAAAAAACCTAAAATTTAAAATTTATTGTTAAACCGAAACTCATCTCGCCCAAACTGTGATGCATTTTGTCTGATTTGAGACACATTTAATATTAATTAATACTTTGTTGGACCTCCCCCAGTTTTAATACAAGCATTAACGCGATCTGGCATACTATCTACCAATCGATGGCAATACTCAGGTGATATATCATGCCAGGCTTCTTGAACAAGATATTCAAGATCAACGAGATTACTTGGATTTGGTTTTCATCGAAGAGCGTTTTTGACCTCATGCCAGAGGTTTTCGATTGGATTTAGATCTGGACTTTGAGCAGACCAATCTAATACTCGAACTTTGTTTTCATTAAGAAAATTTTTGGCAATTTTGGAAGTGTGTGATCTTGCATTATCTTGTTGAAACCAAGGCCAATCACGATCCATATTTCCTGGATATGCCTCTAATGTTGGCAAAATATACCTACGAAGAATTTCAACATGAGACTTACCTGTGGCAGAGCCATTAAGCGCAACGAGAGGACCAGTTCCATACCATGAAAAACAACCCTAATACATCTGACTAGGACTATGTTTGACAGTACTGCTCACACATTCAATGTCCCATTCTTCATGTGGTTCATGCCAG